TAGCATTTAAAAAAAATGTTTACAGACAGACGGACAGCTAGACGGACGGACGCATTACTATCGTATAAGCTTTTATAGTATCTGACCAACAGAGCTTAAAATTACTGTTTCCAATAATGCGATCCCTACTTGTAGTTTTTAAGATTTTTTTTTTTAATTTTTGCATAAAAAGATACTACCATATAGGGCCTACAAGATAATATTACCAAATTGCCATGGGTAATTTAAATAAAATGGATATTTGCTATTTCAAATATCCTCTATTTTTCTTAACTTTTTAGGATTTATTAGTTATTTTTATATGCTTCCTATATTTAAATTTTTCTGATTTTCACAGGGATTTTGTATTCTCCATTTTTGGAGACCCTCCCCTTAACTTGAAGAATTTTGCCACATACTTGCTTTATATGCAACTTATGTTTATTTTTATCATCTGAATTACATGTGCTATCCAGGGTTTAAAGTAACTATTTCCAATCAAAGTATTGTTTTTTTTTATAACGATAAAAAAAATGAAAGTTAAATAAATGTTATTGCAATAAAAACTCTAACTCGTTTTTGCCAACTAGACAGCAAACAGAAAGACTACTGTGTTTCTTTCTTTCCTTGCATTTGTGCTACTTTATATGTTATAGAGTAAGATGAGCTAGTGACCAAGTTGATCGATCTAACATCTTATTATGTATCGCCAAGAATGACATGCCTTAAATACCAAAGGTCCAAGCATACTAGTATCAAAGCATTGTACTTTATGTTTGGAATAATTAGAAACAATAATTTCTTATATTATTCAAAAGTTGTTAATTTTATTCCTAAATAGAAAGATCTCAGTCTGTCTCCACTGCAAATGTCAGTAAAGAATGATCTATTTCGGTATACATGTACCATTTATACTCGCCTGTTAGTCGGTTCTGCTTATAAGTTTTTTTCACTCACGGCTGACGTTAAATAGCGGACATCCCTAACGAAAAACACTAAAGTTAACTATAGTTAACTAAAGTGATGATAACTTTGACATTTTTAAAACTTTGATTTACTATAGTGATAACTTTGACACTTTGAAAAACTTCGACGAAACTTTTGACACGTTGAAAAAATATGGCGAAAACTTTGACACTTTGAAAAACTTTGGCGAAAACTTTGACACTTTGAAAAACTTTGGCAAAAACTTTGACACTTTGAAAAAACTTTGGCGAAAAACTTTGATACTTTGAAAAACTTTGGCGAAAGCTTTGACACTTTGAAAAACTTTATCGAAAACTTCGATATTTAGAAAAAGTTTATTGTAAACTTTGACACTTTGTAAAAAGTTTATCAAAAACTTTGATACTTTAAAGAACTTCATCGAAAACTTTGAAACTTTGAAAAAAATATTTTGAAAACTTTCACACTTTGAAAAACTTTATTGAAAACTTTGATACTTTGAAAATCTTTATCGAAAACTTTGACACTAAAAAAACTTTATCGAAAACTTTGAAACTTTGAAAAAATAAAAAATCTTGATACTTAGAAAAATTTTATTGAAAAGTATGTCATTTCGAAAAACTTTATCGAAAACTTTGATACTTTGAAAAACTTTTTCGAAAACTTTGACACTTCGAAAAACTTTATCGAAAACTTTGAAAAACTTTGACAAAAACTTTGACACTTTGAAAAAATTTGTCGAAAACTTTGATACTTTGATTTACTATAGTTAACTATACTATTTTTTTGGTTAGGGATGTCCCTAACAAAAGAAAATACCATAGAAAACTATATAGTTTACTATAGTTTAATGTAATTAACTAGAGAAGCAAAGTAAAAACTTTGAAACTTTGATTTGCTATAGTGAAAACTTTGGAACGTCGCTAACCACGGTCAATATGTACGCACTTCTCTCATCCTGGCCGTAGTTGCATGAGACGTGAATATTTTGTAGCTCATTAAAGTATTAACCAAAGCAAGTAAAGCACAAATGGACCTTTCATGCGACCTTTCAATACCCATTTGCAGTGAACAAAATACTTCTGATGAATACTAGTATTAATAGAGAGGGTCTCTCTTGTACCGAAATAAGAACTATATTCATTTAAATCTATTTCAATTTAATATTAGTCAGATGTAAACTTAGTCTTATATTTCGAGAGAAAAAATATATACTGCAAATGAAATATGCGTCATTTAGAATTTTTAAAAAAACCCAGCCTCTTCAACCTCAGTCAATGTGTATATTGCAATTTGATATATTCTTGATTTCAAAATTGATTCTAAAATAATCATGCAACAGTGATTATTCAAGTAACACTGCTCACAATTAAAGCATTAATGAACTTTTTCTCAACACAATATATAATATTCTATGTATTACATGTACTTGTATTCTTTGTTATATATCCTTAAGCATAAGTTGTCAATATTGATGTCTCTCTTTTTCGGAATTTGGAAAAACGAAGCAATGGTGAAAATCTTGATATGTATATCTGAATTGTTAACAGCGATATGTGTTAAGCTGTATCAAATCTAAAATACAAAGTTTCGATAAAAATATATCAGGTTGACTATTCAAATCATTGCATCAAATTAAAAGGAATTTAATTGTTTGTTTGCTTCTGTATTTTCAGTAAAAATGGTTCTTTTAAAAGGATTTGAATATCATTTTATTTATCCCTTTGTTAACATCTCCAGCTATCTGACTGTCTGTCTCTTAAACATCCGGGGCTCAAAGACGTTCCCTTGACTAGATAGAAAACACAATAAAACTTCAATAATTACCATTTATATAGCACAAGGGCATATATAAATATTTTGACAAGTAATATCTCATTGTCCAGGAAAGGTGGGTGGGTGTTTCTCTTAGATATAACAAGCGATTTCTAAATTTTATATCATTAAGGGTTGCAACTGCAACGCTTAATGATACACTAGTGTGTATCATTAAGCGTCGAATATGTCGATATTTGCTTGTTTCATTAAGCGTCTGTTTTGCACTGCATTTGTGACGCTTAATGATATAATTCTGTCATTAGGCGGCGATTTAGCATTAGCAGTTGATGATGTCAGCTATTAATGCAATAATTTATGGCATAAAGCGTTGCAATTGCAACGCTTAATGCTATTTGTATCATTAGACGGCGTTTTATCATTAGAGGTTGCTACATATGTAGGGCTACGCCCTCTTCCAAGGGTTAATAATAAGAAATAGTGAACAATCAGTGTGCATATACCAAAAACTTCTACTCAAGAGCCATATGCATCAGGCAAGAAATTATTATTATTAATTATGTTTGAAAGCTTTTTGACACTGTGCTAATTTTTTGTTTTTTTTTCAAAGGAAGGAGTCAGGGGTAAGGTGGGTTAACAATATACAGTTAAAGTATATCATTGAGGGAGTCCGCCAGATTCCAGTTGTCCTAGAACAACTCTATTTCCCGAGGTGCAGCCGAGGGAAATAAGCTTGCTCGAGGGGAACTGGAATATTGCTGACTCCCTCAATGATATATTTAACTGTTTATCGTACCGATATACATGTTTTACATATAACGTTAACTGAGCAACAGTATGAATATTCATGATGTTAATTTTGAACATCTCAGTACTTTTGATTTGATTTAAAGGAATCAGTGGTGTTCCGAATAGATATGTATTAGATCATAAAACTGATGCACCTTTTTGCAGGGAATCAGTCTTTTTACGGTGTTTTTCGAAGAAAAGGCAAAATATAACAATTTACTTTTATATACTGAAAAATAATCAGTAGAGGTAAAAAAAAATTCGATCGTGATTAAAGTTTTACGTAGGAATTTGTGTTCCAGGTACATTGGAATTTATATGAAAACATATTTTTAAAAACTTTATTCTCAAGAATATATTAAGTGATGTTTTGTCATAAATTTATATAAGCTTGTCAGACAGTGTAGATAAAGTTTGTTCGAATCAAGACCTCCATGAGTCGGGTGCACGTCGAGCCACAACGAAGAATCAAAATTTTACTGTAGGATTAAACGTTATTTTTTCAGAATTTATCGATGTGTAAACTCTGCCGTTTTACTCACAAACTGAATAAAAGTGCGAAGCACTTTTATGTAAAGTTTGTGAGTAAAAAGGCAGAGTTTACACATCGATAAATTCTGAAAAAAGAACGTTTAATTCTTATAATTCCAATTACAATTTTTTTTAATTATTAAAATTATTTCTCTTTGAGACCGCCATACAATCCGTTATTTTGTACGGCGTAGGAATACTTTATACCGAAAAGAAACGTATACAAGATTAATATCGATAAAATCCAACTTAAAATGTCAAAACAATCAATAAATAAACTTATAAAAACTCATTGAATGTTGTTTAAGTCAACAAATATCGTAAATACGCGTATTCTCCAGAATAATTCGTCTTTGACCATGGCCATGTTCACATTATCGACAACGTCATAGCAGACCGATGACGTCCTCGATTTGCTCTGGTTCGTTCAAAGATTTAGGGAGAGTATGGGATCTGTAGGAAATAACGAGGGACTTGCAAACAAGAATTATTTTTCCTATTATGATAAATTACTGTGATTTTCTTTATTTTGTTTCGTCAAACTACAATGTATGTATAGAAATTAAATACCTCAAGTGGCCTTCATACAAGATTCGAAATGTAAAGTATTTGACTATTTTGAAACTTTTGTATATATACGGCGGAAAACTCAGATGAAATTTTTCGGCACGAAGATTGCGATTTGAAATACAAATGTGACATTTCTGATCAATGGAATAGTATCTATTCCCAGTGGTTCTTGCCTGTAATATGAATTTACATAACATGGTGGTTTTAAACCTTGATTTTATATGCAAATGGCCTTGAAATTCTATCCCATCCAAGGTTACTCATGTACGTTTCTCTCTTGAAGAAAAAGATGTGTCAATATCTGTTTTAGAAACATCAAAAATAACTTTGTACCCCTGTTTTAGCCCTCCCAAGAGACCCAGATGCTATAGAACCTGTTGGTCTTGAGAAGAAACATTTTCACTTTCTATTCCTATGTTGAAATTTAATCTTTTAGCAAGGTTGTGTAAACATTAAGATGCTTTTATGAAAATTGAAATAAGATGTATTTTATTACATGTAGGTTAAAATGAAAATATGCCAGCTCTTAAATTATCTCTCTTTGTTTTAGATCACAGACAAATATGAAAAGAGGAAAAAGAACTTCAAATGAAGGTTTTAAATATTTGATAATTATTTTGCATTTGTTAAACAATGCACTTGTACATACCGGTAGAAATATTCATTTTATTTGTAATAAAACACCATTACGAAAAGCAAGCTACAAGTACATGCATTAACTGCCTTTTTTTAAATGAAATTCTAACACTTGCAAATGTCTTGTTTAATCGACAAAGTTGCGGATACCTCGTCCAAATGGAACTATCCTGATAAAGAATCTGAAGGTGTGTATTCAATTTTTTGAAATTAACAAATACATATTAATAACCAAAAAGAACTATCAATAATAAAGCAAACATTTCATTTGAGTAGAGGCGGTGTTGATGTTTTTGCTTTGTAGTAGTTTTTGTTCTGTGTATTTTTCATTGATTTATTTTATTTCGTTATGCTACATATGTTAACAAATGAACATTAAATGTTTGCTAAAACCATTGTTTCTATCTGATTGGGGATTATTCTGAATCCAGATATCCTGAAGAAGAACATCCAAAATACTTTAACTATATTGTTAGTGAAGTATTCAAGGTTGCTAAATACTTTATTTTCTCATTCGATTTAAAAGTGAGTTTAAAAAATCCTGATAAAATCCTAAAGAGATGGTTTACTTTATTCAAATTATGTGTATGTATTTTTTAAATATGTTTACCAAATTTGTATTTTTCTTAAAGTTGTAGGTGCAGGAATTGAAAGATTCTACCGAAGATCATCTAATTTCTTAATCAAAAAATGCATAGTGTAAGTAATTCACGTTATTATCTCTTAATTTTGATATTAATTAAAGTAGATAGAAAGAAAAGTGATCTAAGCGATTTTACTTTGTATTCATTTTTTGTATTTATTTTAATCACAACCAAAACACCGGCGCAAGTGGGGTTTTCTGTTCTAAGTCCGTTTTATGTCGTTGTCGACATGTCGTTGTAAACCACAGGCAAATTTTAACCTCAACCCATAGTGTTCTTGGTAAAGGGTATTCATTTTTTTTTTATAAAAGAAGGGCTACGCCCTCTTCCAAGGGTTAATAATAAGAGATAGTGAACAATCAGTGTGCATATACCAAAAACTTCTACTCAAGAGCCATATGCATCAGGCAAGAAATTATTATTATTAATTATGTTTGAAAGCTTTTTGACACTGTGCTAATTTTTTGTTTTTTTTTCAAAGGAAGGAGTCAGGGGTAAGGTGGGTTAACAATATACAGTTAAAGTATATCATTGAGGGAGTCCGCCAGATTCCAGTTGTCCTAGAACAACTCTATTTCCCGAGGTGCAGCCGAGGGAAATAAGCTTGCTCGAGGGGAACTGGAATATTGCTGACTCCCTCAATGATATATTTAACTGTTTATCGTACCGATATACATGTTTTACATATAACGTTAACTGAGCAACAGTATGAATATTCATGATGTTAATTTTGAACATCTCAGTACTTTTGATTTGATTTAAAGGAATCAGTGGTGTTCCGAATAGATATGTATTAGATCATAAAACTGATGCACCTTTTTGCAGGGAATCAGTCTTTTTACGGTGTTTTTCGAAGAAAAGGCAAAATATAACAATTTACTTTTATATACTGAAAAATAATCAGTAGAGGTAAAAAAAAATTCGATCGTGATTAAAGTTTTACGTAGGAATTTGTGTTCCAGGTACATTGGAATTTATATGAAAACATATTTTTAAAAACTTTATTCTCAAGAATATATTAAGTGATGTTTTGTCATAAATTTATATAAGCTTGTCAGACAGTGTAGATAAAGTTTGTTCGAATCAAGACCTCCATGAGTCGGGTGCACGTCGAGCCACAACGAAGAATCAAAATTTTACTGTAGGATTAAACGTTATTTTTTCAGAATTTATCGATGTGTAAACTCTGCCGTTTTACTCACAAACTGAATAAAAGTGCGAAGCACTTTTATGTAAAGTTTGTGAGTAAAAAGGCAGAGTTTACACATCGATAAATTCTGAAAAAAGAACGTTTAATTCTTATAATTCCAATTACAATTTTTTTTAATTATTAAAATTATTTCTCTTTGAGGCCGCCATACAATCCGTTATTTTGTACGGCGTAGGAATACTTTATACCGAAAAGAAACGTATACAAGATTAATATCGATAAAATCCAACTTAAAATGTCAAAACAATCAATAAATAAACTTATAAAAACTCATTGAATGTTGTTTAAGTCAACAAATATCGTAAATACGCGTATTCTCCAGAATAATTCGTCCTTGACCATGGCCATGTTCACATTATCGACAACGTCATAGCAGACCGATGACGTCCTCGATTTGCTCTGGTTCGTTCAAAGATTTAGGGAGAGTATGGGATCTGTAGGAAATAACGAGGGACTTGCAAACAAGAATTATTTTTCCTATTATGATAAATTACTGTGATTTTCTTTATTTTGTTTAGTCAAACTACAATGTATGTATAGAAATTAAATACCTCAAGTGGCCTTCATACAAGATTCGAAATGTAAAGTATTTGACTATTTTGAAACTTTTGTATATATACGGCGGAAAACTCAGATGAAATTTTTCGGCACGAAGATTGCGATTTGAAATACAAATGTGACATTTCTGATCAATGGAATAGTATCTATTCCCAGTGGTTCTTGCCTGTAATATGAATTTACATAACATGGTGGTTTTAAACCTTGATTTTATATGCAAATGGCCTTGAAATTCTATCCCATCCAAGGTTACTCATGTACGTTTCTCTCTTGAAGAAAAAATGTGTCAATATCTGTTTTAGAAACATCAAAAATAACTTTGTACCCCTGTTTTAGCCCTCCCAAGAGACCCAGATGCTATAGAACCTGTTGGTCTTGAGAAGAAACATTTTCACTTTCTATTCCTATGTTGAAATTTAATATTTTAGCAAGGTTGTGTAAACATTAAGATGCTTTTATGAAAATTGAAATAAGATGTATTTTATTACATGTAGGTTAAAATGAAAATATGCCAGCTCTTAAATTATCTCTCTTTGTTTTAGATCACAGACAAATATGAAAAGAGGAAAAAGAACTTCAAATGAAGGTTTTAAATATTTGATAATTATTTTGCATTTGTTAATCAATGCACTTGTACATACCGCTAGAAATATTCATTTTATTTGTAATAAAACACCATTACGAAAAGCAAGCTACAAGTACATGCATTAACTGCCTTTTTTTAAATGAAATTCTAACACTTGCAAATGTCTTGTTTAATCGACAAAGTTGCGGATACCTCGTCCAAATGGAACTATCCTGATAAAGAATCTGAAGGTGTGTATTCAATTTTTTGAAATTAACAAATACATATTAATAACCAAAAAGAACTATCAATAATAAAGCAAACATTTCATTTGAGTAGAGGCGGTGTTGATGTTTTTGCTTTGTAGTAGTTTTTGTTCTGTGTATTTTTCATTGATTTATTTTATTTCGTTATGCTACATATGTTAACAAATGAACATTAAATGTTTGCTAAAGCCATTGTTTCTATCTGATTGGGGATTATTCTGAATCCAGATATCCTGAAGAAGAACATCCAAAATACTTTAACTATATTGTTAGTGAAGTATTCAAGGTTGCTAAATACTTTATTTTCTCATTCGATTTAAAAGTGAGTTTAAAAAATCCTGATAAAATCCTAAAGAGATGGTTTACTTTATTCAAATTATGTGTATGTATTTTTTAAATATGTTTACCAAATTTGTATTTTTCTTAAAGTTGTAGGTGCAGGAATTGAAAGATTCTACCGAAGATCATCTAATTTCTTAATCAAAAAATGCATAGTGTAAGTAATTCACGTTATTATCTCTTAATTTTGATATTAATTAAAGTAGATAGAAAGAAAAGTGATCTAAGCGATTTTACTTTGTATTCATTTTTTGTATTTATTTTAATCACAACCAAAACACCGGCGCAAGTGGGGTTTTCTGTTCTATGTCCGTTTTATGTCGTTGTCGACATGTCGTTGTAAACCACAGGCAAATTTTAACCTCAACCCATAGTGTTCTTGGTAAAGGGTATTCATTTTTTTTTTATAAAAGAAGGGCTACGCCCTCTTCCAAGGGTTAATAATAAGAAATAGTGAACAATCAGTGTGCATATACCAAAAACTTCTACTCAAGAGCCATATGCATCAGGCAAGAAATTATCATTATTAATTATGTTTGAAAGCTTTTTGACACTGTGCTAATTTTTTGTTTTTTTTTCAAAGGAAGGAGTCAGGGGTAAGGTGGGTTAACAATATACAGTTAAAGTATATCATTGAGGGAGTCCGCCAGATTCCAGTTGTCCTAGAACAACTCTATTTCCCGAGGTGCAGCCGAGGGAAATAAGCTTGCTCGAGGGGAACTGGAATATTGCTGACTCCCTCAATGATATATTTAACTGTTTATCGTACCGATATACATGTTTTACATATAACGTTAACTGAGCAACAGTATGAATATTCATGATGTTAATTTTGAACATCTCAGTACTTTTGATTTGATTTAAAGGAATCAGTGGTGTTCCGAATAGATGTGTATTAGATCATAAAACTGATGCACCTTTTTGCAGGGAATCAGTCTTTTTACGGTGTTTTTCGAAGAAAAGGCAAAATATAACAATTTACTTTTATATACTGAAAAATAATCAGTAGAGGTAAAAAAAAATTCGATCGTGATTAAAGTTTTACGTAGGAATTTGTGTTCCAGGTACATTGGAATTTATATGAAAACATATTTTTAAAAACTTTATTCTCAAGAATATATTAAGTGATGTTTTGTCATAAATTTATATAAGCTTGTCAGACAGTGTAGATAAAGTTTGTTCGAATCAAGACCTCCATGAGTCGGGTGCACGTCGAGCCACAACGAAGAATCAAAATTTTACTGTAGGATTTAACGTTCTTTTTTCAGATTTTATTGATGTGTAAACTCTGCCTTTTTACTCACAAACTGAATAAAGTTTGTGAGTAAAAAGGCAGAGTTTACACATCGATAAATTCTGAAAAAAAAAACGTTTAATCCTTATAATTCCAATTACAATTTTTTTTAAATTATTAAATTTATTTCTCTTTGAGGCCGCCATACCATCCGTTATTTTGTACGGCGTAGGAATACTTTATACCGCAAAGAAACGTATACAAGATTAATATCGATAAAATCCAACTTAAAATGTCAAAACAATCAATAAATAAACTTATAAAAACTCATTGAATGTTGTTTAAGTCAACAAATATCGTAAATACGCGTATTCTCCAGAATAATTCGTCCTTGACCATGGCCATGTTCACATTATCGACAACGTCATAGCAGACCGATGACGTCCTCGATTTGCTCTGGTTCGTTCAAAGATTTAGGGAGAGTATGGGATCTGCAGGATGTAAATATATGATTTTGATGCTGATAAGGCAAGAGTCTGAGGTATGTTTCTTTTCCCTATCACAACAATACAAACTGAGCTGATATGGAACGTCGAGAAAATGACAGCATGATCAGCCAGCGATTTTTTAAAATTCACACTCGTGATCCTACAGTGACATAAACTTAAAACATAATATTCCCGTCTGTCAGTCCCGTTTATCTCCTTTTCATTCATTCATTCATATTTATTTCAAGTTTCTTGTAATCATAATTTAGCTAAAACGGACTAGAAGTATCTGTTTTCATTGGTTTTACAACAGTCAAGAAAGTAGTTCTGATTGAAAAATTCATCGATGTGTAAACTTTTTCTTGAAGTTGCTCTCGTCCAATCAAAACACAGGGAATCAATAAATAAAATTAAGATTGGAATTATATAGGAATATATAGAAAAACTCTTTAAATGTTATTATTCTTCAGAATATGGCAAAGCCACGATTTTTTTTTAGATTTAAACACAAGCATCTTGACATAGCGTAGATTCCAATCGATATTATGACCCAAGGGGATAGGGTTAAGCCAACATAAGCGATTATGAATATACATTTGGTTTATAGCTTTTAGGGAAAAAAACCCTCTCAAGAATAGCAAAGACACGATAAGTCATATTTATTTCATATACCTCTACTGATTTTCACTATATAAAAATAAATTGATTTATTTAGTTGATTTCCTGAAAAACAACGTAAAAAGACTGATTCCCTGCAGAAAGGTGTGACAGTCTGATGAACTGATATACACCTCATTCAAAACATCCAGCCATTTCTATGGCACGTCAAATTCACAAAAATGAGCTAAACCTAGTTTCACAATTGATAAACTAGGTTTATCGACTGTAAACTATAGTGTACAAATCGTAAACTATAGTTAATCATTCGTTATGTATAGTTTTCATCTGTAAAACTATATTTAACGGTTGTTAACTATAGTTTACGAATGATAATCTAAGTTTATCTGTCTGAAATAAGCGTTAACAATAGATTTTGTTGATAAACATAGATTCACGTTTGTAAACTGTAGTTTACAATCGTAAACTATAGTTAAGAGTTGTTAATCATAGTTTCACAAATCGTGTAACTATATTTATCAGATCGTTAACTATAGTTAACTGTTTGTAAACTATAGTTTACGAATCGCGAAACTGTATTTATCACATAATCTATGTTTTGCAATCGCAAATGATTGTTTTCAGTGTTAAGTATAGTTTACGGTTGTGAAACATAGATTATCGCGCTAACTATGATTTACGGATGTAAAATATAGATTAACGTTGTTAAATATAGTTTACAGTCCGTAAACCGAAGAAACGTTCCTTTTTATTGTGCGATACAAATTGATCATTCAGCGATAAATCCATGTAAAATGAAAAATATTGGACATATTTCTATTTTTTCCAAACGAAGAAACCTATTCTTGAAAAACGCATACTGTAAACGTATTACGCTTGGCTGTGTATTCTTTTTAACGGTTTTAGCGAAACGCAACAACCGCTAAATCAAATACAAATTTAAATGTCTTGCACATATATACATAATATGAATTTGAAGAAATACGCTAAATGAAATCTACGCTAACTTATTCAAAAATCAATTTCCGCCAAATATCGTAAAGCTAAATTTACAATACATTTACAGTATTATTGATATTTGTGTCAAAGAATTAAGCATTATAAATTACAATGACCTTCAATTGCAATATAATATTGAGAAAATAAACTTGGCCTTCTTTTTCTTTTTTTAAGAAGTGTCCTTTGCATCATTGTACTAATTCTGTCCGTAATGCTGGTAATGCAAGGAGACGCTGTTGAATCTGATCTATTCCATCCGAACGGTTCAGAGATTAACGTAACCTAAATCTGTCTGTTCCATTTACCACCGATACTGAAGCTGTTCATGGTAAGGACAAAGGGAAATTGAAAATTTAAAGATAATCATAGCATATAAATTCAATAACTCTTGGAAAGATATTTACTCTCATATAGCTAATTAATAGTTTATAATAAAAGAAATTTACCAAAAGTCTAAATAATCTAGGCGTTCCATATCTCAGTTTGTATTACGTAAATGAGTATGTCAGAAACATTCCAAATACGAGTGTTCAGTATCGAACGCCCAGTTGTAAATAAAAAAATATATCTGATCTGCCTCTCAAAGACAAATCTATGATAGGATATAGCAGCTAGGTAAGAAGTAGACCAAACTAAACTGTAAATTTTATCCACTTCCTGACCTTTATAGTCGTCTACACAGACCAGTTTTGATATTTTTGTCGTAAGGCAGAAAAATTAAATCAAGCGACTTTATTGGTCTGTAGAGAAAATTATAAAGGGTTAGGAGATGGATAAAATACCAGGGTTCGGCTTTGTAGTAAAACATTTCTAGAGGTATTTGAAAGTCCATTGCTTAAAAGAAGAGAAATACACCCCCAACCATGCGCATAAAATCAAGCACCGTAAATCGCACAATATGTTGCATAAAAGGATCTTTAGCGTTATGGTCAAACACGATAATATAAAAACATAACGCTACAGTTTCTTAAGCTAGGTAAAATGTATTTATTTTTGCGCAAAATTGAAATTACTATTTGATAATTTAGTACGTATTAGACTCAATAATACCTATATAGGCAGATAATAACACTTGGTAGGGTAATTAGAATGATACAATATTAAACACATACAGGACAGGCGTTATTTTAAATACTGATACTGAACATTCTTATTAAAGTGAATTATTTAGTTGAAATTATTAATATAAATCGATGGAAGATGTTTTAGCTACATACATACATACATACATACATACATACATATATATATATATATATATATATATATATATATATATATATATATATATATATATATATATATATATATATATATATATATATATATATAAAGCACTAAAAAAAACCAACAACACTGTATATCCTAAATGTATAGTGAAGTGCGATTTACATAATTGAACGAATTAATTATGCTAATTAATTACGACAATCAGTAAATCGTACATATGTTAAAATGCCCCTTCTATATTATTTTTCTTTGGTTATTCTTTATCAAGTATAGTTACGCCATTTCGAGAGAATGAAACAATGTACGATTTACTGATTGTCGTAATTAATTAGCATAATTAATTCGTTCAATTATGTAAATCGCACTTCACCCGAGCATACCCGATAGACCGGACGCATTTCATAGCGGTCCGGATTCTTTCTTTAAAAGTGTTCTTAAAAATTTCCAAATCAATATGTAACTAAGTATGTAAATATATAGTGTTTAGTAGTTTAGTAGTAGTGCTAGTTGTTTTTTGTTTCGCTTTTTCCTTTGTTCTTATGACTTTTTAACTCTTTTCTTTGTCCTGAGGAAGGGACAGGGCGTCCCGAAAATTTGACAATTTTTATTGTTCGTGTCGTTGGTCATTTTTAGTGCTTTATATATATATATATATATATATATATATATATATATATATATATATATATATATATATATATATATATATATATATATATATTATATATATATATATATTGGATGTCAACGAGTACCCGGTTAACCGGGTACTCAATCGAACGTCCGAGTATCGAATACTAAAATTGGTACTCGGTTACTCGGATGTATATTTTAAAATATTTCTAAGCTTATTTATTAATGCATTAAAATATCGGATTTAAATGTCAACTGGTCAACTGTTCATTGCACTTGTACATACAGTAAATAGGGTTTCCTGAGCCTCTAAATGACCGTTATTGCCTGTGGCAGCGTTTATACAGTAATTACCGTGACCAAGCACCTGCTACCTACATGGCTTTTCTCACCTTTGGCTGTCTTCTACCCTTATGTTTAGTTTGCTCTAATTATTTGTTTTCATTGAACATCGTTAAAGGTCTATTATGTTTAAATAAATTAGCTTATTTTGTCAATTCTCCAGAAGCCATAGATTCTCGGGGAAAGAGACAGACGATATTGCACGTGCGATTGTTGATATGGATGCGTTTGATTACGTGCCAATTAATGCAAATGGTTGAATGCAAATGTTTTAAAAGTCTTATGTCCATCGTTGCACCAAACTACAACATACCGTCTCGTAATTTTAATGAAATCAATGATCGAAAAGTGTACGAAGATCGTAAATCCGCTCTGTTAGAACATGATGAAGTTGATACTGTACATGTAGCTCTGACGACTTATCACTTGGACGACAAACGCATTGATAGAGTTACATTACAATTAGGGAACATATTATTTTTTAAAACAAAACCACTGTGAGCCATTTATGATTTTATTTCTCCTATTTATCTGATAAATAAATTGGACTTTAAAAAAAGTGTTAGATTAAATTTTGTCGGGCACAAAGTGGTCATAATTGTTACAACACATTTACGGGTAAACCTCCCACCGGACCATGCGGTTTTATTTCAATGTTTTACAGTTACCAATTAACTTGTTCAAATTTATTTGATTTTTACCGAGTACCCGGGTACTCGGTCGGGAAAACGTCCGAGTAACCGAGTATCAAAAATTGACCGATTTGACATCCCTAATATATATATATATATATATATATATATATATATATATATATATATATATATATATATATATATATATATATATATATATATATATATATATATTGTAATCTCGTGCATTTTTAGAGCCAAGTCGTGCCAATACAGTGGCGGATCCAGGGGGGGGGGTACGGGGGTTGCAACCCCCCGTTGGATTTGCAAAAGAGAAAGAGAAATAAGAAAGTTCCAATTTTTTTGTTGTGTTTCTACTATAGAAAATGTAAGGTGAAAGGCTAATATTGTAATATATATATAAAGAAATGCAGTTGTAAAAACAAAATAAAACCCCATAGGATTTTCAGGTTCGGGAATTTATTTTCCTTTCTTCTTCAAAAACTTTCTGGTAATGTATACAAGTACTTTTTCCCAGATTGATCAACGTCCCACTTTAAAAAACCATACTCCACCCTATATCGATATTCTATTGAGTTATTTAACTATATGTATGTGTACAACGTACGTTTGAACTGTTTTCGCCTTCAACCCCCCTTTTGAAAAATACTTCAACCCCCTTTGAAAAATTTCTGGATCCGCGCCTGCAATATTCACCAATATAAGTTCAATAACCTTATAATATTGAATGCTCTCTCTCTCTCTTCCAAGAAAAGAGTACGTAACCCTTTCTATACGTTTACCCCTGATTTTTTTCATATAATTAAAAATGTTTTGCTTTCTTTGATTTCAGTTATATGGAGGGAATATTTAAGTTTTGAAAGCTTATGCATTGTTCTAGGTGTACTAGGTACATTTATACTAATTATACTGCAATGCATAACAGTAACAGAGGTATTGCGTGTGCAAAACAAATTAATGAATCAAAATGTTGAACAACAACAACAACCTCGAACTGTGGAACCAGAGCCAGAGCCAGAACTTGTAAGAAAAAATGTTATTCATTTGAAGATAGGTTTTTTAAGTATTTTAAGCTTCTTTAATTAAGTTTCACTATATGGTACGTGGCATTTACCTCCTGGAAAAATAATCTAACACAACACAGTATCATTGAATAGAAGTCACTATTGTGTACTACTGTTGAGAAAGTACATGTAAATTACATGTTTAATTAACCTATCTAGGCTTTTTAAAATGTAAAGAATACTTAAATTAATTACAAATTGTGTAAAATACTGTGAATTTCTATTTTGTTTAGAATTTAGTTCTAAGGGTAGATCACTCTATATGCAAAAAATACCATAAAATCAGAAGTCTTTAGTGTGCAGTGTAATAGGGTTCTTAAATGTAGATGTAACTAACTCTTAAACATTTGTTGAATCACAGGTAAATACAATTAAATATCAATATAAGGTTTTTAAAACATGTTTTGACAAAAAAATCATATCCACTTAGAAGTCGGTATATGGCAAATTCCCCTAAAATAACCTCATAATTAAGAATGGCAATATGATAAATTGTTGTACAGTAACCAATCTAACCTTAGCTGTAAATTTTCCTGACTATTAGTAACCAATTAATTGAACGGATACTTTTATTCTCTTTAATTTTCTTTTTTTTTTCAGAGATATCGACAAAAATTAGAAAATTCACTGTGCATTGTAAGTTTTTCCAAGGATAATCATGCCACATGTAACTGATGAAATCTTTAATGGATCGCCTGATGGATGTAAACCTACAAACCAAGCGTGTTGTTATAACAAAACCAGACAAACTCAACATCATTCCTCCTTCTAAGGTACTTGTACAATGTACATTAAATCTGGCAAGGAAATTATAACATGAATCAGTAAAAAGAAGCAATTTATTTCCCTCTAAATTATTAAGAAAACAAGATGTGTTTGTGAAACACTAAGCGCCCGACGGCAACAAAAATCGAAAAAGCTATTTCTAGCATACTAGCATAGGTAACAGTCAAGGTCACAAGGTCATTGAAAGACCTTGATTAGTGGAGTATGCGCACCAAATATGAAGTCTCTATCTTTTATGGTTCAAAAGTTATGGTGAAAGGTACGAAAAAGCTATTTTTAGCATATAGGTCACAGTCAAGGTCACCAGGTCATTGACCTTGGTGTCATTTGAAAGAAATTTATTAGTGTTGTATGCTTACTAAATATGAAGTCTCTATCTTTCATGGTTCAAAAGTTATGGCGAAGGTTAAAGTTTGCAGACAGAAAAGCTATTTTTAGCATATAGGTCACATTCAAGGTCACAAAGTCATTAATATTAATATTGGTGTCATTTGAAAGCACCTAATTAGAGAAGTATGCATACCAAATATGAAGTTTCTACCTTTCATGGTTCAAAAGTTATGGCAAAGGTTAAAGTTTGGGGACAAACAAACAAACAAACAAACAGACAGACAGACAGGACAAAAACAATATACGCCTCGGATCTATCGATCCGGGCGCATAATTATTTATTTCAAAATGAGTTTAAATTAACTTGATAGTATTGATATAAAAATGACGCCTTAAACTATTCAGGGTTTGATACTAGCAGTATCACACTAACCCTGGACCACTGTTATTGTATGCAATTACATATTGTTCAGTTCACCTGAGCTGAAGGCTTAGGGGAGTTTTTCTGATCAACAATTGTCTCATATCAGTCATTGTTTGGTGTTGCTGTTTTTGGTTTAAAGTTTTTACATTTCTGTCTTCTCCAGAACCACTAAGACAATTTCAACTAGGCTTGCAACAAAACATCCTTTGAATAAGGGGATTTAAGTTTGATAAATTATGAGGACTTAGTTCAGTAAGATATGATTGAGAATAAGTCAAAATTTATGGCTTAAGCTTTTTAGGTTCTTCTTATGAACCCCAAGGCTACAAAAGATTAAAATTAAGTGAAACTGTAAGCATATATATTGTAGATTCAAATTAGTTCAAATCATGACCCTTGAAGGGGGGCAACACAAGGCAATGAAAGTTAAAAGGAAAATAATGTTTAAACATTTTCTTTTGACAGTTAGCAAAACTTAATTAAACATAATTGTTTGGAAGCATCAACAGGTAGTGAAGTTTATGCAGCCACATGAGACAATATTAAATCTTCCCCTGAGACCAGCAAGGCCAATGCTAGTCATATTTAAATTGAAGCATATGTACATGTATACTTGAAAAAGGAAGATTAAAATCATGATCCACATGTAAAGGTTTTGGTCACATTAGGCAGTCAAAAATTTCATTAAATAAAAAGCAGGGGAAATTTTTTTGATAACCTTTTCAGTAACAGCAGAGCCATGGATAGTTATACTAATGTACAAACATCCTCTGGTAGGCTTGAATTAAGTTTCTTCAGATCATTGTTCTCGGGAGCAGTTTAGGAATAGGCAGAGTTTTACCAGGCAGATGTTTAACAAGACAGGGTTTTAAATTGGTGAATATAGAGTGAAATGTTTCAAAAGTGGCAAGACCACTGAAAGACATTCACGTATTTATAAGCAAAACATTCAAAGTTTGTGTGAAATTAGTTTTTTTATGATCCCTTTTTACTTTGGATTAGGGATTTTATATAATGCGTGTTTACAGAAACAAAACAATCAACACAATAGCTAGGTTACGATTTTAGCACTGAAGGATCTCGGTTTAGTGAGGATTGAATTACTGTAGACATACTTTTTTCCACGGGGTCATAATTCCGCGGAATCTCAATTTCCGTTTAATCCGCGGGTAGAAAATTACGCGGATTTCTTAGACTGTCACTATGTTCCTTACATTTCTATTAAGTACGCTTGAACAAAGTTTGTGACCGCGTACATAGCGTAAATTAATACCACGCGGAAAAAGTACTTCTACAGTATCTTTGATTTAATCATTGATCCTTACGGACTTAATTTTGGTCCAATATCTAATTAGAAAAGTACATTAAAATAAAAACTTGAAGTCTCTGAAGAGTAGCAGGGTCAGTGACTCAATGTGACTCAAGTGAGCTTTTTGGCCCATGGGCCTTTTGTAATTATGACAGTTAAATACTTAAAACTGTTTCAAAGAAGCACCAATTTTAAGTTTTTAATGTGGCATTTTGTTTTATAAAGCATGATAAAGAGAGGATTTTTTAAAAATTTAAACAGTTTTATATGGTAAAATAAAATTGTGTACATTGTTATTTAGGACATCTGTATTTTAAAACATGATTGCTCTTGATCACTTTGTGGTAATAATTAATTGCATTTCATAAATTGAATCCTGATGTAAGCCATTGTGCATAAAGATGAAGTAAAGCTGAAACCACTGCCAAATATACGATCATATCACATTCTGGTCGTTGCTGAAATAGAAGAGAATATTTCGTA